GCTTCCACATGTTCTTGCCAGCCCTTCCTCTTGGATTATGCCAGGGGCCATACTCCAAAATGAGTGAGGCTACAACTCAGCTTCTCTACCTGGGCATGGCTAGGCTTGGCTCCAGGAAGAGCAAAACTCCTCATTTAGGGACCCAAATCAGGCAGACCTGTACCCTGCTGAGTTCACTGGTCAGATTGTGCCAACAACTTGGTTTTGCAGATTAGCAAATCTGCTGGTTTCAGCTACTACTTGGGCTCTGCAGGTAGGAACTTGGTCTGCTTAGATCCAAGTGCTGATTGTTGGGAGCTCCTCTCTTCTTTTCTCTCACAATCAGATTCCAAGTAGTTGACCCCTGCAGATTTCTCTGTGGTCCCCGTGATGTGAGAAAGAATTTGGGGCTCCTATAAGGTGACTTGCAATGTTGGGGGTGCCAGATGTCACGCCTGGGCTTTCTTTTCTCCCTGGAGGAAACGTAGGCTCAGGGGAGACTTCTCGACATGTTTCTTCACTGGCCTAGGGGAAGAGCAGAGTGGTCAACCTGTAGCCATTCCTCTTACTCTTCTAATGTGGTCTGTCTTGATCTCTGTGGTGCAGGGAGGTGTTTTAACCTCACCCCCATGTTCTAGGATTCTCTCAGTTGTGTCTTGTCCATGTTGTTTTGGGTAGTGAGTTGAGGAACAAACTATGTTGCCATCTTGGTGATGTCACTGCCTCTTCTCACCTCCTTTTTTGAAAGGTAGTTTTGCCAAATATAAAATTCTTGGTTGAAAGTTTTTCTTTCAGCACTTTGATTATGTCATACCTTCTGACCTCCATTGTTTCTTATGAGAACTCAGTAGTTTATCTTATTGGGATTTTCTTGTACATGACTAGTCATGTTTCTTCTGCTGTTTTCAAGAGTTTCCGTTTGTTTTTAGATTTCAACAGTTTTACCATGATGGATCTGCATGTAGATCTCTTTGTGTTTATTCTACTTGTAGTTTGTTGAGGTCTTGTATATGTAGATTAATTTTTTCATCATATTTTAGAAAGTTTTAGCCATTACTTCTAATATTTTTTCTGCCTCTTTTCTCTCTCTCTCCTCTGCTTTTGTGCTCCCATTATTCATATATTGGTCTTAATGGTACCCCACATTTCTTTGTGGGTCTATTCACTCACCTTCATTATTTTTTGTCTTTGTCAGCATAGTCTTCAACAATCTCTTCAAGTTTTCTGATTCTTTCTTCTCCCAATTAACATCTACTGTTGAAATACTCTAGCAAAATTTTCATTTCAGTTATTGTACTTTTCAACTGAAGAATTTACATTTGGTTCTTTTTTATAATTTCTATGTCTTTATTGATAATTTCTATTCAAAAAGACATTGTCATTATACCTTTCTTTACTTATTTGAGATTTTTTCCTTTAAATATATTTATAATAGCTGCTTTGAAGTCTTTAGCTGTTATGTCTGTCATCTGTGTCCTTTCAAAGGCATTTTCAAAGGTCTGCTCCTTTTCTCTGTATAGGTTACACTTTGTGTTTCCTTGCCTGTGTCATAATTTTTTGTTGAAAATGACATTTTACATAATATGTTGTGACAACCCTGGATACAGGTCTCCTCGCCCAGGACTTATTGTTTTCTTATTTATTTGTTTAATGACTTGGCTGGACTATTTTATTGAACTCTATTTCCCCTATGTTGGGCAGCATCTGATAGTGTTCCTTAGAGGGCACACCCTTGGCCAGGTGCAGTTACCCTTGAGGTTAACAGTGATTTTTGCAGAGCTCTCTTCTTTTTTTTTTTTTTTGAGGAAGATAAGCCCTGAGCTAAATGTTGCCAATCCTCCTCTTTTTTTCTGAGGGAGATTGGCCTGTGCTAACATCCGTGCCCATCTTCCTCTACTTTATATGTGGGATACCTACCACAGTATGGCTTGCCAAGCAGTGCCATGTCCACACCTGGGATCTGAACTGGTGAACCCCGGGCCACCAAACAGAACAAGCACACTTAACTGCCAAGCCACCGGGCTGGCCCATGCAGAGCTCTCTTTGATTGTCTCTTTTTCTGATTTCTCTGTTATGTTGTCTGAATTTCTTTCATATTACAACTATTATTAGCCTCCATTAATTGCCAGCTGATTATTGTTTTAACAATGCTCTGGGAAGTCAATTGCTTCATAATCTGATCCTTTTAAAATTAGGCCCTTTGCAAAAGTAATCTTTGAGGCTAGTTTTCACAGTTTTTTCCTCATCCCAGATGGGCTCTTCTTAGCTGTCTCTTCTGGTTCCCGCTGGTAAACTTCGAGATATTTTACAGTTTATCTTTCTATTCTCAAGGAACTCCCAGCCTACTCTTAGTTGTTTATCACTTGCTGGGGGCAAGGGCAATCAGGGCTCCAGTATTCTCTACCTATTGCACCTGCATTAGAGCTTCTACCTTGCAAGTGAGGGCCGAGTGGAAGACAGCCCAAGACGTCTCAACCATTCTTGCCTGGAATATATTCTCTAAAACATGGACCTGGACTAGGGTGAGTCTTGGGGAATTACTCTAGCTCTCAGCTGGGAGGGTCTTGGCTGTGTCTACTTAGAACGGAACTTCTGTCAGTCTGAACTTGGGTGGGGGGAAGGTAGAAAGAAAGGAGAGAGCAAGTTGTTTCAATGTCATAGTTTCTCGCTGTTCTTATTGAGATTTAATAGATTTTCTTGAATAAATGTTTGTTTGTTTATTTGCTGTATATGCTTCTAGGACAACTTCTAGAGATTTTTAAATGGTTCTTTTTTAAAATAATTTTAATCATTTATGGTTATTTCACTGGGAAAAAGGATCCACAGACTTCTTGCATCTGTGCTCCAGAAATTGTCTCCCCAATGTGATCTTTTTCAAAGCTACTCATATGCTCAAGACTTTGCAATGACTGTTCATTCCAATGACCTTCTTCCTGTTCCTCAAACATGCCAAGTGTCTTCTTGTCTTCCTAAGCATACTTCTGCCTTGACTTTTGTATTTGCTATTTGCTCTGCTAGAATGTTTTTCTGAGATTCCCACTATATCTTGTTTCTTCTCAGCAATACTACCCCAGATTAGCCTATATGAAAAGCAATTCCCTTATTATATATTTAGTGTTTTATTTCTGTATGGTCTAGCTCTACTTATGAGAGAATGTAAGCTTCATGGTATTAGGGACTTTCTTCACATAGAACATATTGGTCATTTTCAGAATACTACTTTTTCATGAAAATCCATTATTTTCTTTTGTCAGTTGAGTTACCACCAGCAATTTCATTAGCTAGTTTTATTTGCAGCTAAGTGTGTTCATATGATCACATTTTTGTTACATTTTGTAATTTAGCAGAAGTAATGAGTATAATTGCTGCTTTGGGTGCTTAAATGGTAATTATACCCACTTTGTTATCGTGTCTTTCCTTTCCCTTGGGCTAGAATGCATCAGTTACGTGGGTTCATGACAGTTCCTTTGAGTATGATGAGGCAAGATTGAATGACTTTATGGAGCAGAGCTGCCCCACCAGCTTAGACTGGTCAGCATAAGAGAAGAGTAAATTTCTGTCTTATTTAAGCCATTATACATTTTATTCTTTCACAGTATTTTACCCTAATTTGTAGATCATTAGTGAAATATTTTGAATGAAGGAATGAATATAAGGAACCCACTTAAAAAATCTGAGAGGAGTGACCCCATTGCGAAGTGGTTAGGTTTGGCATGTTCTGCCTCACGAGTTTGGATCCTGGGCACAGAGCTACACCACTCATCAGCCATGCTGTAGTGGTGACCCACATATAAAGTGGAGGAGGATTGGCACAGATGTTAGCTCAGGGCTGGCCTTCCTCAAGCAAAAAAAAGAGGAAGATTGGCAGCATATGTTAGCTCAAGGCTAATCTTCCTCAGGAAAGAAATATCTGAGAAATAGGAAGATTGTTTTTCTTGATTGATTTTGTTTTACTTCTATTTAATAATAATAGTAACATTAAACTTCCTACCTCATTCATCATTTTAATTCAAATTTTTTTTGCTATTGCATCATATAGAATAAATGCTATTGAGTTTTGGTAAGTTGTCTCCATGATATTTAAGTATTTTACTTGGATATCATCTCTTATAGACATATTTAAATAAGGATTGGCAACTGAATTTTATCTACTGCCTTTTCTACATCTATTTATGTAATCATACATATTTCCTTCATTAATTTGTTTATGTAATGAGCTTTGTAATACTTTATCATAGTGTTATTTTTTTACTTGCATTCCTAGATTCTTTTTATTAATATTCAGAATTTTTTCATCTGTATTCAAAGGTGAGATTGGTCTATGGTTTTATTTTTATTGCCTTATTGGACTATGTAGGACTTCCAGTAAAATGTTGAATAGGTTAGGTGAGAGAGGACACCCTTCCCTCACTTTTGATCTTAGAGGGAAAATATTTAGTACTTTACTATTTAGTATGATTTTAGTTTGTTGATGCCATGTTTTAGGTGATATTTTAGATATAGTGGGTTAAATAAACATAATATTAATATTAATCTCACCTATTTTTACCTTTTATTAGTGTAGCTCATAGAAAATGTAAAATTATTTTGTGGTGTACATTGTATTTTGTTGGACAGCACTGCTCTAGAGTAATTTTCCTAGCTGGAAATAAAAAGTTACTTCTTTACTGGAAAGGAAAAATGAAAAAGAGTTCATACGAGTTACCTTAGATTTCTGTAGATAATTTAGTCATGTTCTCCTTGTCATTATATTATAAAATGCATATCCAGATGTAAGTAGAGAATTTCTTGTGGGTTCATATCACCAGAGATTTCTCAGCACTCATTCATTCTTTGATGAATGTTGATGAACAAACCTTAGTACCTAAATAGTTTTATATAGTAATAATATGAAAACAAATATTACATTAAATTTACCACTTTGTTTTCTAAGATGTAAATGAACTCATGTGTAGTTTTCTTATTTATTTATTTTTCTTTTGGCAAAAGAACTAAATGACAATTTCCCCCCTTATGTTCAGACCCTTGTTTTTGTGTAAAAAGTATCAGGAAAAGCTTATTGATGAAACAAAATGGATTTACATACACAAAAGATTTGAAGATAAACTCTTTAAGGAACTCTTTTTTCCTCCTGAAACTAATATAACAGGAATGCTTGCGCATAGGAAACGTGTAAGTATAATTAGTTTGTTACTTTTTTTTGAAATATTTTTATTTAAGTTGCTACGGTTATAATTTATGTAGGATTAATAAGAATTTCTTCAATATCTTTTAAATATCTTCCATTATATTGTTAATATTCATCTTGAGATTATCTTTATGTGAGGAAAATCATATAACATAATAAAAATATACTTTTTGTAGTGTATGAATTACTTGTACCATTTTATAATTTATGCTTTGTATATGTATGTTTTCTCATTAATTATTGCAAGTAGTTATTAATAGTAAAGTAAAATCACTTCTTACTACTGGAAAACATAGAGAATATTAAGTTTATTAAAGGCTGATAATTTTACATACAGCATAATATTATTCATTGTTTTATGCTAAATTGTGTATTGCTTTGAGGGCACAATGGAAGTAGAAAGGAACATGTTTATTGAGTGCCTACTATGTACCAGGCACTGTGCTAGATATTCTGCATGTGATATATAATTTATTCTCTACAACTATGAGATAGGTATTTTTATTTTTTGTTTTTATATTTTAATTAATTAATTATTTTAATATGATAACACTGGTTTATAACATTATATAAATGTCAGGTATACATTGTTATATTTTGATTTCTAGATTACATCACGTTCACTACCCAAAGACTAATTACAATCCATCACTGTACACATATGCCTAATCACTCCTTTCACCCTCCTCCCTCCCCTCTTCCCCTCTGGTAGCCACCAATCCAATCTCTCTATGTGTGTATTTGTTCTTGTTTTTATCTTTTATTTATGAGTGAGATCATATGGTATTTGACTTTCTCCCCCTGACTTATTTTGCTTAGCATAATACCCTCAAAGGTCCATCCAAGTTGTCACAAATGGCCAGATTTCATCCTTTTTTATGGCTGAGTAGTATTCTATTGTGTGTATATATCACATTTTCTTTATCCATTTGTCCCTTGATGGGCATGTAGGTTGCTTCCAAATCTTGGCTATTGTGAATAATGCTGCAATGAACATAGGTGTGCATATTTCTTTATGTGTTTGTGTTTCCATGTTTGTTGGATAAATACCCACCAATGCAATAGGTGGATCATATGGTAGTTCTATTCTTAATTTTTTGAGCAATCTCAATACTGTTTGCCATAGAGGCTGCACCAGTTTGCACTCCCTCCAGTAGTGTATGAGAGTTCCCTTTTCTCTACATCCTCTCCAACACATATTATTTTCTATCTTGTTAATTATAGTCATTCTGACAGGTGTGAGGAGATATCTCACTTTAGTTTTGGTTTCCATTTCCCTGACAGTTAGTGATGTTGAACATCTTTTCATATGCCTGTTGGCCATCTGTATATCTTCTTTGGAAAAATGTCTGTTCAGATCTTTTGCCCATTTTTTAATTGGGTTTTTAGTTTTTTTGTTGTTGTGATGTATGTGTTCTTTATATATTTTAGGTGTTAACCCATTATCAGATATATGGTTTGCAAGTATCTCCTCCCAATTGTTAGGTTGTCATTTCATTGTGTTGGTGGTTTCCTTTGCTGTGCAGAAGCTTTTTAGTTTGATGTAGTCCCATTTGTTTATTTTTTCTATTGTTTCCCTTGCCTGGTCTGACATGGTACTTGAACAAATGCTAAGACTGATGTTGAAGAGCATACTCCCTATGTTTTCTTCTATAACTTTCATGGTTTTGGGTCTTAGATTAAAGTTTTTAATCCATTTTGAGTCAATTTTTGTGCATGGTGTAAGATAATGGTCTACTTTCATTCTTTTCTATATGGCTGTCCAGTTTTCCCAACACCACTTATTGAAGAGACTCTCCTTTCTCCATTGTATGTTCTTGGCTCCTTTGTCAAAAATTAGTTGTCCATAAATGTGTGGGTTTAGTATTTAGCTCTCGATTCTGTTCCATTGATCTCTGTGTATGTTTTTCTACCAGTACCATGCTGTTTTGATTACTATAGCTTTATAGTATATTTTGAAATCAGGGAGTATGATACCTCCCACTTTATTCTTTTTTATCAGGGTTGGTTTGGCTATTTGATTTGCTGGTATTCTGTTAAGAATTTTTGCGTCCAAGTTCATCAGTGATATTGACTTGTAATATTCTTTTTGTGTCGTGCTTGTCTGGTTTTCACATCAGGGTAATGTTGGCTTTGTAGAATGAGTTAGGAAGCTTCCCCTCCTCTTCAGTTTTTTGGAAGAATTTGAGGAGGATAGGTGTTAGGTCTTCTTTGAATGTTTGGTAGAATTCACCGAGGAAGCAATCTGGTCTTGGACTTTTATTTTTGGAGGTTTTTATTAGGGTTTCAATCTCCTTACTGGTGATTTGTCTATTCAAATTGTCTATTTCTTCTTGATTCTGTTTTGGAAGGTTGATGATTCTAAGGATTTATACATTTTTCCTAAATCATCCAATTTATTGGCATATAGCTTTTTGTAGTATTCTCATATCTTTTGTATTTCAGAGGTATCCATTGTAATTTCTCCTCTTTCATTTCTGATTTTATTTATTTGAGCTTTCTTTCTTTTTTCCTTGGTGCATCTAGCTAAGGGCTTTTCAATTTTGTTTATCTGTTCAAAGACCAACTCTTAGTTTCATTGATTTTTTTTTCTACTTTTTTCACTCTCTATTCCATTTATTACTCCTCTGATTTTTATCATTGACTTCCTTCTACTGATTTTGGGCTTTGTTCTTCTTTTTACAGTTCCTTTACGTGCAGTGTTGGATTGTTTGCTTGAGATGCTTTTGGTTCTTCTTCCTGAAGCCCCCTAGTACATAGTTGTATATTCTAGTTGTAGGTTCTTCTGGCTGTGCTATATGGGACATTTCCTCAGCATGGCTTGATGAGCAGTACTAGCTCCACACCCAGGAGCCAAACCAGTGAAACCCCAGGCCACCGAAGTGGAGAGCGTGAACTTAACCACTCAGCCATGGGGCCAGCCCCTCTCCTTTGACTGCTTCATTGGCCCAATCATTGCTCATTAGCATCTTGTTTAATCTCTACATATTTGTGGCTTTTCTGATTTTCTTCCTATACTTGATTTCTGGTTTCATACCATTGTGGTCAGAAAAGATGCTTGGTATTATTTCAGTCTTCTTAAATTTATTGAGACTTTTTTTGTGACCTAATATGTAATCTGTCCTGGAGAATGTTCCATGTGCATTTGAAAAGAATCTGTTTTCTGGCATATCTGTTTGGAATGTTCTGTATTTATCTACTACATCCATCTGGTCTAATGTATCATTTAAGTCCAGTGTTTCCTTATTGATCTTCTGTTTGGATGATCTATCCATTGTCATCATTGGAGTGTTAAATTGCCCTACTACTATCCTGTTGCTGTCTATTTCTCCTTTTATGTGTGTTAATAATTGCTTTATATACTTAGGTGCTCCTGTGTTGGGTGCATAGATATTATCTTCTTCTTGGATTGTTCCCTTTTCATTATGTGGTGCCTTTCTTTGTCTCTTCCTATAGTTTTTGTATTAAAGTCTATTTTTATCTGGTATAAGTATTGCTACCCCAGCTTTGTTTTCATTGCCATTTGCATGGAATATCTTTTTCCATCTCTTCACTTTCTGTATGTGTGTGTCTTTAGGTCCGAAGTGTGTCTGTTGTATGCAGCATATATATGGGTCTTGTTTTTTATCCAATCGGCCACCCTATGCCTTTTGACTGGAGCGTTTAGTCCGTTAATATTTAAAGTATCTATTGATAAGAATGTACTTATTGCCATTTTTTTACTTTTCTTCTCAGTATTTTTTAATAGTTCTTCTCTGTTCCTTTCTTCTTCTCTTGTTTCTTCCCTTGAAGTTTGATGTCTTTATTATTATGCTCAGATTACTTTCTCTTAATTTTTTTGTGTATTTATTATAGGTTTCTGGTTTGTGATTATCAAGAAGTTCATATATAATAACCTATGTATATAACAATGTATATTAAGTTGATGTCTCTTTAGTTTGACCTCTTGCTAAATGCTCTACTCTTTTACTCCCCTCCTCCCACATTTTATGTTTTTGATACCATATCTAACCTCTTTTTTTGTGTGTATCTGTTACCCTCTTATTATGGAAATAGATATTTTAGTACTTTTCTCTTTGACCTCCATGTTAGCTTCATAGGTGGTTGATCTGCTACCTTTACTATATATTTGCCTTTACTGGTGATTTTATTGCTTTTTTTGGATAATTTTCTTATTCCTATTTGTGGGCTTCTCTTTTCTTCTTAAGCCCCTTTCGCGTTTCTTTTAATGTTGGTTTCTTGGTGATAAACTTCTTTAGTTTTTGCTTGTCTGAGAGACAGTTTATCTCTCCTTCCATTCTGAATGATAGCCTTGCTGGGGAGAGTATTCTTGGCTGTAGGATTTTTCCTTTTAGCAGTTTAAATATATCATGTCACTCCTTTCTATCCATTAAAGTTTTTCCTGAGAAGTCAGCTGATAGCCTTATAGCGTTTCCTTTGTATGTAACATGTTGCCGTTCTCTTATAGTTTTTAGGATTCTCTCTTTATCTTTAATTCTTGACATTTTAATTATAGTGTGTCTTGATGTGTCTTGGTGTGAGCCTCTTTGAGTTTGTCGTGTTTGGTACTTTCTCTGCTTTTTGTACCTGGACGTCTGTTTCCTTCCTTAGGTTAGGAAAAGTTTTCAGCTGTTATTTCTTCAAATAGATTCTCTTCCCCTTTGTCTCTCACTTCTCTTTCTGGGACAATTATAACATGGATCTTAGTGCACTTGATATTGCCCCAGAGGTCCCTTAGACTGTCTTCATTCTTTTCAAATCAGTTTTCTTTTATCTGTTCAGCTTCTGTGATTTCCTCTAGTCTTTCATCCAGCTTGCTGATCCATTCTGTATTATCTACTCTGATATTGAGTCCCTCTAGTGATTTATTCCAGTATTGTATTTTTCATTTCTGATTGGTTCTTTTTTATATTTCTCAATTCTTTGTTAAGTTCTCACTGAGTTCATCCATTCTTCTCCCCAAATCAGTGGTCATCCTCATGAC